ATGTAGTGTGTGCTGCCCGCCCAATAGTTATGGGAAATATGAGAGCAAATAAGCATAAAGAATTTAAAAAATGTACATGGTGTTTTTAAGTTGGGTACTGTTATGTCTTCATTTCCCAGCAAATCTATAAACAATTGTTGGGTTTGGTCAACTATCCCTTAAAAGCATTTGTGATACATTCATTGAAAATCCTACAAACATAGACACTAAAATAAACTGTATCAGCTATTTGACACATACTTTCACCCATTAGGTTGACAACAACCTTTAGCATAGGTTAAGAAGTGGAAATAAATATAATATTTTATGGAGAAATCACAAATTCGGTAATAATTTTTAAACCGTAATCATTACATCTATGGGAGTTATACAGTTTTCTTTAAATTAAAAGTAACATAACATACTATACTACATTATAATTCAAATCGTTCGATTTATTTTTGTGAAAATTCAATTTTCCCGTTGTTTTATGGAATAATTACATAAGCTATAATAACTTTTAAACAGAACATTTTTACAGAATTATGGGTTGAACCATTCTTGTTAGAGTTAAAAGGGCCATAATATGTTAATAATATGTCCATAATATTTTTAGTATGCTAAACGTTAATCAAAATCGTTCGAGCAGTTCGCATTGTTTAAAATACAGTGCGTACTAAAGTAAGTAGGCTTACAACATGAGCAACATTTATTAATATCTTACAGGAAAACTTACATTTAAAAACCTTATTTAAAATACTTAATTCGCGTTCAGTATCTATTATTACAGATAATATTAGATAGCTTCTTCATTAGAAAAAAAAAGTTTTTATGTGAAATTCGTTTAAAATAGGTCTAATTAAGACAAAACGAGATTTCCGTCACTGGTCCCGATCTCGTCTGTATTTATTGTTCTTGTTTAGGCTAAGAACAGCCAAGCATTGATCGTAAAGCGGCAGTTTTATGGATGGTTAGGTCGTCGTGTCCGTTTGGGTAAGTTTTCTGAATATCGTGAGCTCCAACTGAAGTTAAATTCTTAGGTCTAAAAAATTCCAATTGAAATTGGAATTGAAGAAAAGAATTTTCAGAATAAGGGTTAAAGGTGAAATCACGAATCAATACTCGGAACAAAGTTGTACGGACAAAGTGGAAAATCGCAAAAATCGCTTCTAGTATCACTGAGCCTAAGTAATAAAACTATTGTAAGAAATCTTTGAACGCATTAAAGACGCAAATCTCGATAAGTAAGATTCTTCTTTGACGAGTGGAATATAAAAACCAATTCGATACCTGGAATCTAGAACATGACTTGTTCTAGATGAGCAGTGTGAGCTTGTGTGAGCTTGTTCTAGAACTATGAAAATAGTGCTAGTATTTTTTTTTTTTTTTTTTTTTGGGGGGGGGTAGCCGAGTGGTTATTGTGCTCTCCTTCAAATCTGAAGATCGCAGGTTCAATTCTAATCGAGGTGGTTTCCAGACCTTGACGCCATTTTTTGTCACTAGGCTATCAATTAATGATGCTATCTAACTAAACGGTCAACATTAGATAGTAACAAGATTGAAGCTTGTATCGTTCTTTCTGACTATTTCGGCCAAGGAATTAGGGATCGAGTATTCAAGCTTGCAAGTAATTATGTTGAAAAGGTTACTGAGTTATACCGCTGAAGTGCTACCGTTTTGGAGTCCTCTAAGCTTGCATTCTGTGTAAGGTGCTGACGGTCTTTGATGCTGCAATTCTGTCGAGGTTTTAGTTCTATAATGATGTCTGGTATGAAACAAATCTGTTGTTCTTTGATGCTGTGAAACCGTGGTTCTGCACTTCCTGTAATGTTGCGATGCTAAAGTTCTGTGTTGCTAACAACACATGCAACATATTAACAACTATAGTGCGCAGTTTGATGCTTCCTATGGGGGTCATTACACGATGGATATTAATGGCTCACACGGCTGTCGTCAATTGTAAGATATTGACATTGTGCAATACACTACACAATCCACGTAATATACATGGATAACCATCTATAAATGCCATTAAAAACAATCGGTCTAGTTGTATACATGGTGATTGGTACTAAGTGTGACAAACATTTTTTGGTATAAGTACAAAGTATATGAAGTGTGAGGATGCATATAAAAGGTTCCAAGTCAAAAAATTAGCTTCCCAAAGAATTATTTAAAAACAATTTTAAAAAAATTAAAAAAAAACAATGTTTAAACTTAATATAGCAATTTTTCAATTACCTGTAAATGGATTTGAGTAGATAATGTAATCTTCATGTTCTACATTAAATTTTGAATAAGAACAATAGAAAATGACGGAGGTTCAGTAGTAAAAACTCCATTGTAAATAGATTCAAAGATAAAAATTAAGGTGTTTGATAATAATAAAAAAAAACATTGGTTTATTGCATTTTATTGCACCACCCTGTATACAAGAAGGTGGCCAAATATGAGATAATGATGATAAATCTGTGCCATTTTATAAGCTTTCCAACCGTATGCTACACTATTGAGGTTTAGATATGCTTTTGTTTGTTTTAGTGGTTTGAATACTGTACTAGAAAACAGGGAACTTTTTGACTGTTAGTGAATTTCCCATATAGGGAATATAAGCTATTTTTACTGTTCAAACTGAAACAAAAATACAAGTTTTGCTTAACTAATACATGCCGACTTTCTATGTTAAAGACACCATGATTTGGAGTCTTCAAACCATTAAAGCGTACATAAGCAGATCTAAAGCTCAGTATAGTTGGAAAGCTTATAAAATGGCACAACTTTTAACATATTTGGCCACCTTCTTGTATACAGGGTGTAGAAAAATGCAATAGACCAATATTTTTTAAATTTTTATCAAACACCTTAATTTTTATCTTTGAATCTATTTGCAATGAAGTTTTTATTACTGATCTTCTGTCATTTTGTACTGTTCTTATTCAAAATTTAATGTAGAACATGAAAATGACATTATCTACTAAAATCCTTTTACAGGTAATTAAAAAATTGATGTATTAAGTTTAAAAACATAGTTATTTTTGAAAAACTTTAAATAATTCTTTGGGAAGCCAATTTTTAAACTTGGAACCTCCTATGCATCATCAAACTTCATTAAAAAGTGTAGTAAAAGTAATGTTAAAGGATATTGAAATATGGTGTAGGAAATGAGTGAGTAATGTAAATTATATTTCAGTCTGTTAGGGGCGTTTCTATGTAAAATCTTTCAGAGTGGAAATTGTGCTCGATTATTTAACAAAAGTTGTATTATCAAATAAACTGTTACCTGTTCAATATCCTTTGATTCCTGTTATGACGACCGGTTTCGTGACGACAATCACATCATCAGTCCTCGTTGAACGATTCGTTAAGTACACATAAAGTTTTTACCGACGAGTTTTATTAAGGGAACGGTCTGGTTCACGCCCCGGGATTTGCACCCTCTTTTAAAAACGCGAGAATTGTGACATACATGTATATGGAATTTGTATAGATGGATACGCACCGGACACATTGCGTACATTTACACATTTATTTTCTTTATTCTTACTAAAAAATAATTGTTGTTGATGCGGCGCTGACACTATAGCACCCCCCAGACTATCTATAGGTGCCCAGAATATCTCGTTTAGACCTAACCAACTGATAACTGGACTATCTATTGTACCTTCTACAGCACTCTTACTTGACGGAATCCACGCCTCAGTAAAAAATATTTGGTTTGAAAGAAAAAAGTTATGCTTTCATCGGATGTATTGCAAACAATTAGCACCTCTTGTTATAGATTGCACGTTGGATATGGTTTTTTAGGTTATTATAACTATAATTGTATAGTATTATTTTTTTTAAGTTATTGTTAGTTCTTTTTTTATGTGTATTAAGTGAAGTGTGAAGAACTTTTAATTTGATTAAGCAGACAGTTAAGGACTCTATCACGCACAGGTCATTGTGACCCATGTGATATTTTTATTTTTTTGTATTTATTGCTGCAAAACAGTTTGTAATAAATAAAGAATTTTCTCTCTCCCTCACTACAATACACAGTTACTACAGTGACACAAGACTTATCTTACAGAGCAGTATGGTAGGCAACGTGTTAAAAAACCACGAAAGAAAGATGCATACCGTTACATCACGTTGTATTAAATTTAATTAATCAAAATTTCTTTATCCTCGAGTGCTTCTTATTAGCAAACTGGTTTATCGATAACAATTCTTAAACTAGACTACTACAAATCAGTCATAGAAATTCAAAACAAACTATACATAAACAAAGAGAAACTTACAAAGACTAACTTAACAACTTTACGAACTTTACAAAACGCTTTCATTTTTTTCTTGGATGGCAAAGCGAAAGGCCTTTGAACTGAAGCGGAGGACTTGTAAAATGTTGAGCTGAAACAGGAGAACTCTCCTTCATATCTCCAAATTAACTTTGTGTCTTACGCCTACTTAGTGCCACGACGAACAATTACTTCATGAGTCACAAGTCTCTCCATTAGTTATTCTAGTTCTTGTTGAGATAACACCCAAAGGATGAGACAATGAGATCATACACTCCATTCAGCATCGGCTGTTAACAGACCGGTATGATCTCGAACAGAGATGTGTCTTACATTAGGAGACCATAGACGAAAATAATTGCGGTATTTTGCAGCCTAAATCGGTTCATCTCTTCCAAAATTCTGTTACCGTTCTGGAAAGGAGTAATACAGCACTGACATCACCAACGTCTGAACCAACCAGTCTCCGTAAGAACCGAACATAATCTGTACAGTTCTCACAGCCTTCACATAGCAACAGACATAAGTGAGGTAGTTGGAGAAAAGCAAAGCAAGGGTTGAACAGGTACAGTACAAGAGTTTAATTCTATTGATACATATTAGCGGCGTCACAAGGATCAAACGCAAGACATTGCTGCCACGAACTGTTGTCCGTCACGCTACCGACTCAACATTCTGGCACTTGTCAGTAATTGAACAGTATTTATTCCTAAAACACAGTAAAGTTAATTACATCTGTTGTAGAATACAAGATGAAGGCCAGTCCAGCATCAGTTGCAGAGTGCAGCGCAGTTTTGTGTGTGTTGCTTCTGCTAGCAGACGTAGCAACCACAGCTCCCGCCCCATATGATTACGACAGTAAGTACAACACCTGTTATATCCTCTATTTAAGGTTTTTATCTACCATTATTTGTTTTATATCATGCACATTATTGTCCATAGACACAGTAACTAATCTTGATAGTTAAAAATGGTAAATAATAATATTTAGTGGTATCCCCAAAACCTAAAAAAGAAGCTATTTTATTAGGACTTGGAACCATTCGCATAATAATTATCCCCTATACACTCCCACCCCGTCCAATTCAACCAGATTTTAGAGAAGAAATTAAGCATGGGTTTCCCATTTGTACTAAGGAACGTAGTCCATTGCATTTAGTAAAACTGAACTGAGGTAAAGGGATTGTGGAATTTACATACATAAAGCCATAACCAACGAGCTGATTCCCCTAGTTTGTACCAACATAGCCAAACTTTACAGCGTCTCGATTTTCTACCAGAGTTGCCGTGCCAGTGCTACCCCCAGTTGTATTTCTAGCTCAGTGTACTAGTACAACATAACCTAACAAATAAAGAAACAAGTTCAATAAGAAACTTGCCATAAAATGAAGATGAATTATTTATTTATTATGAGTTATTAATTTGAAAAAATAATAAAGTTAACGTTGTTATGGTTTTCTAAGGTGTACGAGATCTCTACGAGGTTCTGCTCCAGCGGGAAGCAATGGCAGACAACTTGCTGAATCAGCACAGGATTGTCCGTAAGAACAACCGCTCCCCTTCATTAAGACTTCGTTTTGGTCGGCGCAGTGACCCTGCCATGCTCCAGGTATGTACAATGGCACAACTTCCAAATGGGCCATTTGCAGATAAAATAGCAATGTGTTAAGAGTGTACTGTGGGTCCGCTGTTTGACTTAAATAAAAATTTACTTTATTTATGAGGCGAAGTTAGAACTAGCGAGTCCTCTTACAAAACAACCTCAAAAGAAGAAGAATAACAAATCCACTTAAATGAATGAAATAATAAAAAATTTTAGGATATTAATTTAATAAAATAAAAATACTGCTGACAGTAAATAAAATTCAAACAGGCCACAAAAAACACATCACACCACTGCCAAAGACCCACTCGCGCTTGCTCCTCAATATAATAGATTTTATGTCTATTACACTCCTTACTGTTTACATTGCCAATACAGCGTCTCAATAATAACACTTACAGTTGTACTTATAACACTTACTGTGAAAAACAAAGTGTGTAACTTAGATATTTATTAGTTTACTATGGTTTAATGTGGCTAGTAAGGTGATTTTACACTCAGACTGCAAATCTTTTGCAACATATCACTCTTATGCAGCAAATGAATATGAAAAGCGTCCTTCAACTTGGACTATTTTCGAGAAGCCTGATACTACTTAGTAACTCTATAAATTATTAACTTAACGAAAACAATATTTATCTTATACTCATGAATACGAACCGCTAAAGAAAACTATTAAAGCTGAAGGTTACAATTTAACTTGTTAAATTAAGTCTCTAACGGTGTTGGGAATAGTTATTTTTCAAAATACAAATATACATTACATTTATTATACATTTATATAAATCACATTATTTCCCCTCGAATTTAATGTTAATTAAGACGAAGAATTTTATTAGTAGTTGGGTGAGATGTGCTTAAAAATTTCAAACCACTACGAAATTTGCAATCCTAAAGAAAGTTTTAAATTAATTATGGCCTATTTTAGAACGAATTATATGAATAATAATCCCCGGAAATGATAAAAAAATAGATGCATTTACTACATTTCTGCACCTTTCAGCACATGCCAAAGAGTTTTATTTATTACGTTTTGAGTGTCCGGTCCCTGTTGAATATAACTGCAGTGCAGGGAATATCCGAGTGAATTTAGGTTTTGTCAATAAATGTGACATCAGCATTGTCTTAAATTTCTTGTAGTACGCTGATTTCTCAAAAATCGTAATTTTGCGTCTACATTTTAATATGGGATTATGATAAATACATTTCTAGGAAAAATATACATATACACAATTACAAACCAGGTACAACTTATTTTGTGAAAACGTGAAGTGACGTAATATGATATGTCAAGTGATGATTTATCTGCTCCATAACGTCTTGCTTGGACCCGAGGGAAAATTAATAATATATTAACACAAGTTTTATATTTTTTTGTTCAAGTATTTTATTTATCCAACATCACAAAAATATAATGAATCAAAATAAAAGAATAACTGCACTAAAATGTTTATTACAACGTTAGGCAGCTTTAGCACTCCCATCCAACAGAGTGGAGATTTAAACATTATTTCTTAATTAAAGATGTTTTCAAGAACAATTCATGTGTGATTTGCTGAACCATCAGCGTATAATATTTCATATGTTCACATACGAAGCTTAACGGAACCCACGTGAAACCATTACAGTGTGAAATGTGATCCCGTATAAAAACGTTTTGTAATTCGATATTGCAGCCACCATGTGGAATTTATTGAACCTTTTGTTAGATTATTTTTGTTCCTAACATTACATATCAGTTATTTGAATGCCTTTGGTAATCAAACCGGGCAAACAATGCAAAAATTTTAAATTATTTTTCATTTTTAGCGTTGATATAAAGAAATGTAAAACATGGTTGACATGGTAATACCTTAAGGCAAGAGATCTATTGATTTTGGGTTGTTAATATAGCTAAAATATATTTATCTATGGTAGAATACTTTTTCATAGTGTTTCTACTAAAGAATGTTTTATTTTTTTTTTTATTTTTTGTGTTTTTTTTATTAATTTTTATTTGGCGAGTCGGTGGCTCAGTTGGTAGCGTCGCGGACTTCGGGCCCAAGGCAGCAGTGTCGTGGGTTCGGATCCTGGTCACTGCCACAAACATTTCATCAGTACAGTTCACCTTCGTACTGTACCGGCTCACCCCTTGCTTTGCTGGATACGTTCCACGCACAGATCTGTAGTCTATGTGGACGGGCAAATGCAAGGTTAAAGAGGCTGCCAACCTCTTTAAAAAAAATGTATGTTTTCGTTAAATTTTAATTTACCCCTATGAAAAAACTTATATTTTTGAAGGAGGAACGCTAACCTAATTTCATTTGAACAATTTCAATAATTTCAAAATTAACAGTCAGACAATGTAGGCCTACATGTTTTGTTGGTCATGATACAGTTAGCCCCTCTCCCTCGGTCAATAAATTGCTCGCGGATTAGCCTCTACCCTCCAAATCTCTGAAGCGTATTACCTTAGCATGTTTTACATAGCAAATGTTTTATTGTGCATGAAATAATGGGCACTTGAATTTACCTCCCTCCATTGTTTAAGCCGCTCAAACTCCAAAATTTTAAGCCTTATACAAAGATTTCGTAGTAGTTTAATTTTTTTACAGCCATATTTAAAAAAAGATTTTTATAAAAAAGTCGGTTAAAATAATATAAATTTAAAACTACAATGTTAAAATACCTTTAGTCGATTAAAAGGAACTTTTGTAGTGAAACAGCTGATCCATTTAGTTTCGACACTTTTAAACTATAGCAATGATGTCATGTAAAATTAGTATTATAGATTATAATGATGGAATTTATCTATTTTTGTATACAATGTATACATATAGCTTGACAGCTAAAGTATGTTTATAAATTTATTCCTTTGCATTAATCACCTCAAGTCTATTTGTCTTATAATTTTTCTCCTTACAAACTTATTTGGCCAATATAGCTTGATTTTAAAATTGCTATCAATTCAATTACAAATCTAATTTATAAAAACCCATAAACAACGTATTTAACCATAGAAAACGATTACTTGGTTTGGTTTACAAATTACGATTTCTAATGATCTGACAAATTAACGGAAATACTTGTAAACGTTGTTTCTAAACAGACCATGAGTGAAATTCAACTATATTGTCCCTTAATGTCAGTTTTGCCATGACAAATCAGTGTACAAAACAAACAACAAACTAAATCTTACGTTAATTAACTTCAGTCAAAAATTTGGAAAAAAATTATACGAATACTAAAAAAATCAATAAAAATTACAGTTCAAGAAACAATGGTCAACTAAAGCTACCTCAGTTATTTTAATGATATCCTTCTGAATTTGTAAAATTTTTAATTTTTATAAAATTATATAAATTTAAAACAAAGCTGAAAAATTCCACTAAATTACCTTAGTTTGATTTTACTACCATAACTTAGCTAAACAGAGTGGAAAATAAAGATGATATTGTGGTTTTATTTTCATATTTTGTTATTGAGTTTGAAAATATTATAGGTGATTGGTTGGTTCTACTTTTAAGTAAATCATGTATGTTGTATGTTTTTATATTTTAGATAAGTTTTTTAATGTTATAATAGTTTCTATTATCCATAGTATTCTATTATCGATAGTATAAATAGTTTCTAGGATAATCCAAGTTATGATTCGTATAATGCTGATAAAATCGGGCTTGTCTTAAACGCATCTTCCCTCTTAAACTAAAAGATTTTTCTGTAATGCGATAAATTTGCATAGTTCTAAACAGTGTATGGAAATAACATAATTTATAATAATTCCATAACTGTAAAGAGTGCTTGGTAGCTGTAATGCAATTTTATTTTTCCAATTATTATAACTAAAGGATCTACACATTTTGCCTGATAGAAATTCCCTGCATTTTTTATGGCCCTACCTTAAAAAAATCTAAAACCAATGCTAAGGACCATGTTATTTCTTATATTGCGAAATATTTATGAGTAGAACAGTAAAACCCTATGGGCTAGTAAATTCCCATTAGGTAGTTACACATTTTTACTGAAATAGCTGAACAATTAGAAACAGACGATAACACGCATTTAACTTAAATATTATGTTTTACTCCTAGAGATTAAATAATTCCAAATCAATTGATGGAGAAACCATATTACCCCAATATATTTTGCAAATAACATGGTATTCATAAGCAGATTGGGATTTAGTGTGAAAAGTCACATGTGAAATAACATGTTGCCTCATGTTAAAGGGGATTTTACTGCAAAGAAGTTGCCAACCATATGTAAATGCAATGCGGAGCCTCGAACAGCTTATCTCCTATCATTGAGCTTCTAAAATGTAATGTTCTATACATCCCATAAGTTTAATTTTACTCACTACCCTTGCCAAATTATGGGCTTCCAATATTCACTCTCAAATACTTTCTGATTTATTAAAATAATGGTGTATAAAGTTTGTTAAACATGTTTGACAAATTCTATATCAACTGCCCTTAGCCAAAAGATAGAAAAAGTGTGTGACGAAAATGGATTTACGTGAAGCCGATGACGATATTCGAATATGGCAAATACACTCCTAGAATAAAAGACATTGTTCAGACATTTAATTGCAGAATGCCTTTAGGTCTGATGACAATAAGATTCAATTTTTTAACTAACTACTGTAGCAGTATAGTGATTTTTTGTATATAAAATGTACAGATTAGAACGATAAAACAAAATACAAATATTGTAAGAAATGTAAGATAATAAATACTTGTAACTTAAAACTTCTTAAAACCCGTATTGACTCAAATTTCTTTTAGAGGTTGGCAGCCTCTTTTACCTTGCATTTGCACGTTCACATGAGCTACAGAAGCCTGTGTGTGGAACGTATTTAACAAATCAAGGGGTGAGCCGGTACAGTACAAGCTATGGTACAAGGGCGAACTGTACTGATAAAAAGTAGTGGCAGATATCAGTATCCGAACCCACGACATCGCTGATTTGGGTCCAAAATCCGCGGCGCTACTGACTGACCCGCCGACTCACTGAACCTACTTTTGCTGGCAATAAAAAGGGATTTTCATTTTGTTGAGTAAATATCGGTACAGATAAAAGAATATAAATAATGCAAAATAAAAAATTTAAGATATAAATAATATTAATTTTAAAAATCATAGAGCTTATATTCACTTACATTGTACATGGAAAATTCTGATTTTACCTTTCACCACTTCTCCAAATGCCTAAGAATGTCCTTACTTTTATGTTGTTTTCAGGTGGAGCGAAATATTCTGGGCTCGTTCCCAGATGGTGGGATCGACAACTAGATCACAGACCACCCCTTGCACCCCTACATGAACTACAAGACACCCCGCAGTAGTAGTACACCTATAGTATAATATACCATTTTATATCCAAACCGTTATTTGGGATAAATTGTACTGTGTGGTATTCAATAAATTTAGCTACGAAAGTATTACTAATTTTACTTGCAGACTTTGCTAACCAAGAAATTATCGATACAATCAATTATTGATATTATTATTGATTATTTAAAAAATCTATATTGATCGAATTGTAAATGCATCAACAGTTCAGTTTAATTAAAAAAAAAATTTAACTCGTTCTGTAATTTTGGTATTTTAAAATATAATGGGGTGGTAAAATATTTACATTATTGACGAGTTTTTTTTTCTTGTCTTGAATTTTTAACTGTTAAAGAAACAAGGAAGAATTCTTAACTTAATGTGTTATAAAGGACATTTACAGTATGGATTTACTATGATCCATCTGGTTATGCATAATATACCCAAAATTCAACAACAATCTATTTTTGAAACCTGTATGAAATGCATACTGTTTTGGTTTAGGTATCGCATATCTGTATTTTGATTATTTATAATTTCAAATCAAAATAAACTTAAATATTTTGAATTACTTTTCCTAATGATTAGTTTTAATAAGTTACAATTGTATTGTATGAATACACAAATTAATCGATTAAAATGGTATATTATTACCTAAATATAGTTTAGGTTGTTCATGTATTTTTCATATATAAGAAATATCTAGTTGTCATACAATAAAAGAGAATTTATTATTTCAGTTACTATCGTAAAATTTATCCATCTCCAATAACCCTATAAACGTGTATGCATAAGTTAGAGAAATGTAAGAGGTATCTCAAAACATTAAAGCTATTTTAATTAGTTTACATCTGTATCATAAAATATATATTATGTTACCTTAAGCATACAAATTTGACTGCCAAGAAATTAAAATAATTTAACACATTGGTAAAAAAACAAAGCTTATTTTGAACAGAGTTTCTTAAATGTATTAATGAAACTTTATGATTATTACATAAATTTAAAAATAAATAAAGAAACATATAATAAGTGAATACAAATACAGTGAAACGACATAAATGTGTATAAATACACATATTAATAGTTAAATTACAACCTTGCCTGACAATAAAAGTTATATAATAAAAGATTGGTAAACATAAAAAATATTTTACATGAAATTTTAATCATATAATATACGACATAACCGTAATCATATTATATAATCGTAAATGTATGTGAAGCAAAGGAAAAACATTGACTTTCTCTATTTTAGATGAGAACGATTAATGAGGTGTCAAGGCCGGTGCACACAGAAACAGACGGACTCTTGCTGGCGGACGAATCTTTTTGTAGGGCACTCACCCACAGGAGTCTCCAAGCAGACGAACTATCCCTTCCCTCAATTACCTCATAAAAAGTTACAAAAAGAAACGAAACAAGTGTGGAACGGGATGACAGTCCCTCACAAGTAGGTGTTACAGGGTGTCTAGCGTCCCATCAAAATAAAATTCAAGGGCAATTCCAGGTTATTCAGGCTCAAAATTTCCAGGACAAAACTTGCCGCTCAAAAAATTAAAACTTACTTATCACTCACGTTTTAATATACCTGCTAGTATATTAAAACCCTTCTCCGAATACTGTGAAGATTTTTATGATCGCAGTCACATCGGTGATCATTACTTTCAATCGTGGCAAATTTTAGATGATTTTCCGTGATTTTAGCAACATTGGCGATTATTTTCAGAGATCGTGGCAAAATTAATTATAATTTCCCGCGATTGCGGCATCACCCGTCATGATTTCTCGCGATGTCGGACATTCATAAACGTATCTTAAAATCGCTGCAAAATGTGCGAAGACTTCTCGCAATCACAGAAATCTCGTGGTCATTGCTTGTGATCGCGGCAACATCCTCTTAACAACCGTGACTATTACGGCGAAATTCGTGATGATTTACCATGATCGCGGAAACTGCCGTGATAATGTCTTGCGATCTCGGCAACGTAATAGTTTCCCCTGCGATTGCGATTATCAACTACGCAAGACGAGAAAAATCTGTAATTTCAGCCAGATTATTCGGCTATCATTCAAACATTTAAATTCCCCAGTTCTTCGTGGATTTCCACCAAATTCACGAATTTCCCACGGTCATCAAATGTTACGAAAAAGTCCCGGTTTCCAGGTGGGCTGGACACCCTTAGTAAACAAACTACAGCACAGCTAGTGGCAAGTACTGGTAAGAAACCCTCTTTGCGCATGTGCAGTCCGCAGCGATTCCAAAAATTCCGTCCGCGAATTCAATCAGACTCCGGCAGACGGACGGATTCCTTTATGCGTGGTCAAATTTGATAACAAGGGGAGTGAATTTTAGTCCGTCTGTCTGCGTGAGTCCGTCTGTGTCTGTGTGCGCCAGCCTTGAGTCCCTGTGAATATGATGAACGATTAAAATAAAAAGTTTGTACATAAGAAGCTAAAAGAGGCTTGAAGGCAAAAGAAATATTTGTTACAGAAGAGTGAAGCCGAAATGCTTGGAGATGGGGCGATCAGAGTGCAACTTGCTAAAAAAATAGACCCCTGCAAGTACACCAAAATAATAACCGTACAATAATGAATATTATAGTTATGAATTTTTCTCCCAGGCTGCAAGCTATAAAAAAGGATGCATGATGTTAGAACTATTCAAAATATGTAACATATAACCGAACAGTGAATGAAAAGTATTTAACAACTTTTCTTTTCATATAAAAAGAAGAACAGTAATATTAGATTTACAAGTTCTTCAAACCCGACCATGATTGCAAAGTACTCTACAGGAAAGGATTAGAATATTAGTTGTATTTTTCATTCGTTAGCTAAGCGGCTGGATTCGTTTGTCATCACTGAATTATCACAAGTTAGTTTGATTTATTATTTACTATATATTGTAAACCACATTGGCCTCCTTTGCTTCTTACATGTCCTCTCGTTGGTACTGATAGTGAATATAGTTATCAGTAGAGTTTCAATAAACACCGCAAACATTTAAATATGACAGTTGACGAGGGTTAGATGAGGATCATATACTTCGACAGGTGGAAACCATACAACCACAAACAAAAAAGGATACAATCGTTGTACAATAATAATTTAAGAATAATTATAGTAGACGCTTTCAAATCCAGCACATTTCGGACTGATCGTCTCAAAAAAAAAAAAAAAAAAAAAAAAAAACATTGCAAGACAAGCTGAGATACCACTATGTATATAGGTAAAAAAAACCAAAAAATAAAAAAAACTATTGGCCAGTGGTTATATAAATCCGGGGTTAATTATTTTTTCTCTTATTTAACCGGTAAAAAAAAAATAAAAAGCACGAGTTGGTTCATAACGACTACCTATCACTCCCTACCCTGAAAAACGCACTAAACTGTCTCAATCTTTCTAAATTTTACCTGACTATTGGACAAGCCGTATCATCAGATCCCGATACTCATAAAATGTGGTAGTGACAGTCTCCATTCGTGGTTTGCAAGAAAGTTAAACAACTTAACAACAACAAATTTGTCCAATATATTCTATTCCCATATTATAATAACTGTTCGAGAATTGGAAATAACAGTTCAATACATTATTGTAAAGATTATATTTTTATTACTGTTGTGATTAGAATAATAAATATATTACTTCTTAAATGCTTAAATCTTTAATGCAAATACTCTAAATCACCCTGGGGCAGAGCCCTAAATGAGTGTTGTTAGGCTCTTAGGCAAAGTATGGTATAAAATGTACCCGTTGAACAAAAATCTTAAGCTCAACGTTGCATGAAACATTTGTAAAACTGTTTTAATCGGTTAACAACGTACAAAGTGAGGTTTAGCTACTAATGAAACATACGTCTGATGATGTGTCGAAACTAGCATAACTATCGTATTGCCAATCATGGAAATGTTTCAAGGGTTTAAGAGATTTATTTCCTGACGATATTGCTAGTGCAGATGAGCCTGCGATTTCAGCTAAGCTTCACAATTACTGGCTCAAACAGCACTTAAATAGTGTTCTATTAGGTGTTAAGTAATGTTGTATAGATCTGTACCATAAGTAGTAATTAACTAGTGTCATACATCCAATGCAAAAACCTGTAATCTAAGAGAATTCGTACTTGATTTATTGAATTTTTACTCGAACACGATGGTTCATTCTACATTATTGTCCACGAGCCTAAGTAACTGTAAAAATCATTCGGTTGAATAATTGTGACAGAATAATTACGGAATACCTTTAATCATAAGAATACTATTTAAGTTGTTTAAAATATTTTATTTTCATGCAAGGAATCGTACTGATTTAGTGCTGAATTTCGTAATCATTATATAGACCTCGTGTAAAAGTAATAAATTAAACTATATCTTAAATACCCTACAAATTAAGTACCTGTAAATTAAATTAATAACATGACTCATTCTAACCTATGCAATAACCCCCTCGCACCAAATCTGGTTGGATTTTTACTAAAATGTATTGTGACGAATCGACCTGTCATTATTAATCTATCCCATAAAACATCGGGCATCGCTGGGTTATATTTTCCACGGGCCCATTGGAAAATAGGTAAGGCATATGACCACAGCACGGGAAACGGAGTGAGTACCGTTCTATTCTTTGTTGTGGGGGTCATAAACGGTCAAAACCGTCAGATAGGCCCGAGTGCCGTTTGACTCCCCAGAGCGTAAGAGTGATTCAGGGGAGGGGTATTAGTGGAAGAGAGTGTATTGGTCAGTATGTAACGAATACCGGGTACAGTTTCTTAACTGGGCTACCCTCGATTAAAAATATAGGTTTGATTAGTAAACCTAATTATTTTTTTTTATAATCAGCAAGTTTGGTTAGGTTAGGTCATAATACAGTAGTTTTATTTTATCTCTCAAACAAGTTTTTCTCCCCCCCCCCCCTCTGGTCGATCTTTTCATCCCTATACTCGCTGCACCGTGGAAAAACTGGGCGTAGTGGAACTGCCCCAACGTTTTGGGTACATTTGAAAATATGAAACTGCCCCGCTCATTAAAGAGAATTAGGAAGGGTCACCTCGTTAAGACTAGAAATGCTGAAATTGCCCCGAGCACCCGGCCAGGTAGTTGTTACGGGACTTTGTAAAAAATGTATTATTTTTGTCCCTGTGTCCTGTCAGTGACTGTATTTTCCTGTCGACTTAGGAGACTACT